CGCCTGTGGTCCCAGCTACTTGGGAGGCGGAGGCAGGAGACTCGCTTGAGCCCAGGAGTTGGAGGTTGCTGTGAGCTGTAATGCGACGGCACTCTACCCAGGGGGACAGCTTGAGACTCTGTCTCAAAAAAAAAAAATTAAAGTAAGTAAATTAAAAAAAAAATTAAGGCCAGCGCGGTGGCTTCCTTCTGTAATCCCACTTTGGGAGGCTGAGATGGATGGATTGCCTGAGCTCACCAGTTCCAGACCACCTTGAGCCAGAGTGAGACCCGGCCTCTAGAAACAGCTGGGCGTTGTAGTCCCAGCTACTCAGGAGTCTGAGGTAAGAGAATCACTTGAGCCCTGGAGTCTGAGGTTTCTGTGAGCTAACCAATCTACCGGTTACCACAAGGAGAAACTCTGTCTCTAAAATAAAATAAAAATAAATGAATAACCGGCTCAAGGCTCAGGTCTCCAGATGACTTATTCAGGAACTCCGAAAATAGAGAGACGTGGAGATAACAGAGGTTTCTTGAGTTTGGGCTGCTTACATATACCTGGTGAAACACCTTTGCGTCCTGGGGTCACCATGACACTACCTTTGCAAGATACTGCTTTCCAGCACGACATATCTTTATTATTTTTTGTAATTTTTCTTTATCTACTGGAATCCCCATGGAGGTCCTTTCTCACACTTTCCCCCATGTGAAATAAACAGAATCCCTAACTTCACAGGCTTGAAATTCTATTTTTGCTTATACTGCCACAGTTAAATGATTTCTAAATTTTTTGTTGTGTTCATCTCAGCAAGAAGTTCAATTGCCAGGCAGAGAATGCGATTTTGTAGGCCAATACATTTGTGTTAGGAGGCGCAGGTATCTCCTGATAACCCTCCCAGCTTCACGCCAGTGGCTTTCAAATTGCTCAGCGTTTTAGAAATACTGTAAATTTCAACATATTAAATATTAAGGGACTCCTTTAGATCCCCCAAGCCTTAAAGTTACATCGTGTAAGTCTGCTGTGTTTTCACTGAGAATAAAATTATGGTAGGGTTTTTTGAAGCCGCCTGACTATAATCGGCACTCCTGCCACTGCCTTTCACAAGGGCCCACTAGCTGAAAAATATTTTGAAAACAGAGCTGAAGTGGAGATAATGTAGAACGAACGCAGGCGGAAAAAAGAATAAACCGAGCGTGGCTGGCAGAAACTAGGATGGCTGTTCCGGGAGAGGCAGAGAACCGTCCATAAATCTGGAGTATAAATCTGCAGGCCACAGTCCAAGGGCCTCATGGGGTCGCTTTCCCTTGACCCTCGGGTTGAGAGGCTTCCCTGGAGGAAGGAAGCGACCCCGCCCAGAAAAACCGCTTCTGGACTCACGCTTCTCTCTACACCCCGGAGCGGCGCCTGCTCAAGCCACGTTTCTCTGCGACCCAAAAATAACTACACAGATGTAAGGGAAAAGAGCCAAGCCTGCGGCATTGGGCGCTGTTCAGGTACGGCCTTATCGCTTACAGCCACAAAGCTCAAAGTCTAAACCAGCACCAGCCATTTATAGCCAGTCCCTCGAGCCCCGCCCTAGCAACTTCCCCTAGCAACGCCTCGCCCGGGTGATGGGTTGTCTTATCGGCCTCAGCCAGGCCTTTCCTGTGCCCCTCCCCCTCCCCCGGAGGCTCCCCGGGCTCGATCACGTGACCGGCCCCTCGGGAGGGGAGGGGCGAACGGAAGCGAGAGGGGCGGGGCGCTGGGAGACTGTTGGCGTCATCAAGATGCGTCGGGCTAGTTGTGGCGCTTAGTGTTTCAGGAGTGTCCAGCTTGCGGTGAAATGGCTGGGGCTGAGGCTCTGGTCTGGATCCGCGGCCCCGGCTTCGGCTGCAGGGCGGTGCGGTGTGCCTCGGCTAGGTGCTCCGTCCAGGATTTCGTCCTCCGATACTGCCAAGATCAGGTGAGGATCGTGGTTCCTGTCGGGGAGGGGGACAAGGGCAGGGCTGGGTGCCAAGTGGTTCTGTCGAAAGTACGTCTAATTCCCTGGGGTTTGGTTCTTGAGGCTGACAGTTCCCCAGTTTTAAGGTGTTTCTTATACTGATACTGAGAACTTTCTTAGCTTTGTTTCGTCGTGGTGGTGTTGGTTCTGTCCCCCCACAGGAGAAAAAAACCCACTCTGATTACAGGCTCTTAGTCCAGCCCTCAGTTAACAAACATTTTGTTTCTGTTTATTTATTCGTAAATAGACATTTGGGCCTAATGACCTTTAAGGCTCAAGTCTTTACTTTATTACTATGGTTGTGTGACGTGCATTTTGTCCACTGATCAATCTCAGCCCTATTACTTTCAACCTGAAGAAGTATGTCATTTTCAAACCCTAGGGGAAAGGACGGTTGGGAAGGATTTGGGGTTAAGCACTCACATGTGTTCTGTTGAGGGTGTGGGATCTTAGTGCCTGTTGTTCAGATGCTTTCACTAATTCTTTTATGATATCATTAACCGTGCATATTTTGAAAAGTCAGGGACTTTGAAGGTTACTTGTGTCCTTTTATTCATACTTAATTCTCAACTAAAATCCCACAGTTTTGCCAGTTGTGAAATGTCAAATCTGTTCAGTTGTCTAAAGAATTCAGTGGCCTTTTTGAAACTAATTTTAATTTTGCCAGTTGACCTAGAACTTTTTTGTGTGTCTGGTATTTTTTTTCTTTTATGGTCACTGTCATATTCAGCCAGGATAGAGTTCTGTTTTTCTTTATAACCACACCATATCCTTGCTTGCCTCAGCTGTTACTTCTGCTTGCTATTTATAAGCCTAACAAATGTTAACCCTGCAATGTAAACCATATTTTTAAAAGACTCAGGCTAATTCCACGTGTATTTGCAAATAATGTGGTTTTTCACCTTCCTTATTTTTCTTTCCACTCTGTCATACTGTGTGAAAGTTGTCAACAGACTTTTGACTATCTGAATGAAAAATTTCCAAAACAGTTGCATTTTATCATCTTTGAAAATAACTCTTATGTCATTAGTACAGTTTGGAAACTCAGAATTGATCCAAACAGATCAGGAAAAATAGGATTTTTTTTTTATTGAGACAGTCTCACTTTGTCGCCCTTGAGTGCTGTGGTGTCATAGCTCACAGCAACCTCAAACTCTTGGGCTCAAGCGATTCTCTTGCCTCAGCCTCTCAAGTAGCTGGGACTATAGGTGCCTGGCACAACGCCTGGCTAATTTTTGTTGTTGCTTTAGCAGGCCAAGGCCAGGTTTGAACCCACTAGCCCTGGTGCATGTGGCCAGCACCCTAACCACTGAGTGCCCAGCCAGAAAAAGGATCTTAACTATGAGGAATGTTGGAAGTAATTTTAAATAAGAACCAAGAAATATGATTGAATGGATTTAGGTACTTAGGAAACATGATCATAGGCTGGGTGCAGTGGCTCATGCCTGTAATCCTAGCACTATGGGAAGCTGAGGTGGGAAGATCACTTGAGCTTGGGAGTTTGAGACCAGCTTGAGCAAGAGCAAGATCCCATCTTTACCAAAAATAGAAAAATTAGCTGGCTGTCTTGGTGGGCACCTTTAGTCCCAGATACTTGGGAGGCTAAGGCAGGAAGATTGCTTGAATACAGGAGTTTGAGATTGTTGTGAGCTAGGCTGACACCACAGCACTCCAGCCTGGGCAACAGAGTGAGACTCTGTCTCAAAAAGAAATATGACTGGATGGGTGCCTGTAGCTCAGCGGTTAGAGCGCCAGCCACATATACTGGTTGGCGGGTTCGAATCCGGCCCAGGCCTGCCGAACAACAATGACAATTACAAATAAAAAAAAAAACCCAAACAGCTTTTGTTGTGGTAGGTGCCTGTAGTCCCAGCTACTTGGGAGGCTGAGGCAGGAGAATCACTTAAGCCCAAGAGTTTGAGGTTCCTGTGAGCTATGAAACCACGGCACTCTACCAAGGGCAACAAAAAGAAGTATGACTGTAGCAAATATGAATAGAAACACAATTTTTATAATGGTCATTTAATAAGGTACTAGCACAAATAAGAATAATTCAGATTCACACTTATGCTGCTGACCTCAGGCATTCCTCCCTCCTCGGCCTCCCATGGTGCTAGGATTATAGGTGTGAGCCACCACACCTGGCCAAACCTTAGCTTTTAAAAATACAGTCACCAGCTCGGCGCCTATAGCTCAACCGGCTAAGGCGCCAGCCACGTACACCTAAGGTGGTGGGTTCGAATCCCCAGCCCGGACCCGCCAAAACAAC